ATATATATATATATTTTTTTTTTTTTTTATGTTAACAGTTCATATTTTTATTAAGTGCTTAATATTTTTTTCTGGAAACTATGATACTGTCTTTGCAGGATTGTTTGATGAATAGAAAGTTCAAAAGAACATAATGTATTTGAAATAGAAATTGTTTGAAACATTATAAATGTATTTCATGCCTCTTTTGAACAATTAAAGTGCATCCTTGCTGAATAAAAAAACTTTAACAGTGTACTTGTACACTTTGCAAAATTGAAAACCAGTGTACGGCAGTCGGGTTTCCTTGTGTTCAGTCTACATCCATGATCAGATAAACAGGTGAACACACTTTAGTCTGTTTCTGAGCCTGTCAAAATGATATGGGATTTGGCATTCGGTGTGTGGTGCAGTGGTCTGGAAAGTGTGTATGCTGCTGCTTTTTAGCACATTTTTGACATCAAAAGGAATAGGAACAAAACATGAACAATTCTTGAGCTCTTTTATGGCTTGGCTGTAGATGTCTTTTCAAGGCAATCATTTACAATTAGGGCGACTGCTACATCAAAAAGCCCCATGTTGATTGATTTCACTATGGTCTGAGTGGAGAAAAAACTTCTGATAGATACAAATTACACCAAATATGTTCAAAAGAAACACAGAAAGCTGAATTCTGCACATAATACTTTTTTGTGTAGAGGTGAGATAATTTGTGTAATTTTTTCCCCAATACATTCAATATGCTCCTCTACCGCAGCTTAATATGCAGAAAAAAAATTGCAAGTGAGCTATAGTATTTGTAAGTTTGTTTCTTAATAAGTGCAAACACTGTTTCTCTGTGGCGTTAGGAAAAATGTACTCTGTTTGTTCCAGCATCCAGTCCAACACCAGAGCCAGAGCTGCAAATTAGGGACTGGACTGTCAGTTTGACTGACCAATAGCAAACTCAGTAATACATTTTCCATTTATTACTGCTAGCAGCACAGAAATTACCTACCTCACCTTTTTAGTTTAATGTCATAGCTAACTCTGAATATGGAACAGTGACGCTGCTACCAAAATACACCTCACTGTGAAATACAAATCATTCCAGCTCACACCATTCATCTCAGCCGTTCTTCATAAATACGAATTGTAACATACAGAGATATTGCAAAGGATTGCACCATGTAACGAAAAACAGGCTGGATTTATCATCCGACACAATTAGCAAGAGGCAAAGATAACTGAAAGCTCAAGGATGGCATTGTGGTATAAAATATCACCCGCAGCTTCACAGAATTTAACAGTTTTGATATACGTTATACAGAACACAAGGAGAAAATATAGCTGTAGGTCAGCGCATGAAATAAATGTAAGGTCAGTACAGACTAACTGGTTTTGAGGAACACCTGGTAGGCATACCTGAGCTTTTGCAGGTAAACTTTGCCTGGGGATCACACATTCTCTTGACGCCTTTGCAGTTTGTTTCATCACTGCCGTCTTCGCAGTCTTTATCCCCATCGCAGCGCCAGCGCTCGGGGATGCAAGTCCCATCAGCACGGCAGTGAAACTCCTCTCCACTGCATTCCACAGGAGGCAAAGCTGGACATGACACAAAAAAACTGAGATCGATCCTGGGATATTCTGATTCCCAAACAAATGACTCTAATGAGTTATTTTTTAGTGAATCAAACAAGTATAGTTTGACCAGGTCCTGAACTATAATGAGTTGGCTCTTTCTAGTAAATAAAACATGTACAGTGACCAGTGTAGTTCAATTTCTGAACAGATGACTCTAATGAGTGTTTTTTTAGTGTGAAGAAACATTAAGCATGACCAGTGTAGTCCAGTTCCATCCCAAATAACTCGAATGAGTCAGTTCTTTTTAGTGAATCAAACATGTACAGTGTGATCAGTACTCCAATTCCTGAGTTGATACTTTTTTTTTTTCAATTCCTGAACAAAAGACTCTAATGAGTCGGTTCATATTTGTGAATAGATCACAAAGTGTGGCCAGTGCAGTCCGATTCTCTTAATAATTTATTATAATCAGTTAGTTCTTTTTAGTGACTCAAACACATACTGAGCGACTAATTCTGTCCATTTTCATAACAAATGATCCTAATGAGTTCAACAAATTACTCTAATGAAACAGTTCTTCTTTTTATTGAATCAAACACATACAGTCGACCAGTGTAGTCCAATTCCTGGACAATTTACTTTAATGAGTCAGTTATTTTAAGTGAATAAAACATTAAAGGTGCCATAGAATGCAAAGGTCTACACAGAAGGTATGTGGCTTTGGTAAGGGAAAAAAATCTCCAGAAACGGTTTTACATGTCCATTTACAACCCTAGGATTTGTCCCTAGAATGAAATGGTCTGTTTTTACCTTATTTGGAAGGGTCGTGAATAATAATGCTGAGCTCTGCTCTGATTGGCTGTTTCGCAGTGCGGCTCAATGTTGAGCTCTGCTTTCATTGGCTGTTTCACAGTGCGGCTCATTTCAGTAGCTCAAACAGCAGGAAGGAAACACAGTGAAAATATATATTTCAATACTTTCTCTCGCAGTTATATCGTTGGGTAATTATACTGTATATAAAAGTATATTTGCTTTCCGTGCCTTTCTGAATACAGACACCAACACATCCCTGCACTTCACATCCCTTGCACAGCCTGGAACATAACATTTATTTCCATGATCTGCCATTTTCGCTGTTGTCCTCGCTTGTTTCTTCACAATACCTGCAGAACTTCTGATGATTTGGCTGTGCAGGTCCGGCTGGCTTCGAACACGGGCGGGTATATGCAAATGTTGGGGGCGTAACTATTAGTGGTCCCGAATGTAACGTCACAGTTGGTGTTATGTTCTGATTCGTCTATTTTTCAGTGGTCTTTTGAATGCACAAGATTTACATAAGAAGGAGGAAACAATGGTGTTTGAGGCTCACGTTATGTTATTTCTATGTACAGAACTGTTATTATTCAACTATGCCAAGGTAAATACAGTTTTCCATTCGATGGCACCTTTAAACTGTGAGACGGTGTAAATTAACTGAATTTATGCCACTTCTAATTTTATTTTTAAATTATCAACTGCCAAAGGAAGAACACTTTTCTAACAATATTTATTACTTAAAAGTACTAAAAGAATCCATAATGTCACTGCTAAGGATTAAAAATAGCAAGGTAAACAGAAAAGAAAAGAAAAGTTGTTAAAGCTCACAGACACTCTCACTTCAAACTACTTCAACCAGCCTTAATAATGTTAAACTGGCAGAGTTTTATCAAGCATACTTCAAGATTTCCTCTTGTCACATTAATAAATATTTAAATATTCTCTCCGACACTGGCAAAGACTTTAAGTGTCTGTGCGCTTCAATACAAAGGACAGGGGCGAGATTTTCTTAAAGAGTAAGACGACCACAAAGGAAAAGTCTTTCATACTGTAGCCTGCCTCAAATTTCTGATTCATTCTCAACCCTGACAATTGACAGGAATTAAATACATACTTCAAAAGCATGTTTATACACCAAACCCACCTCAATCCCGTCTGCCATTAAACAAAACAAATGGCCTCCTCAAAAAGACAGCTGGTAACATTACGAACCCTTAAAGATTAAAGGGCCCCCTCTTTGCTCAAGGCTAATGCTGAGAGTTACCAGTGTCTCCTCCACTTTACACATACAGAGCATGTGTTATACAATGATCTGAGCCCTGCACTGGGAGGATACGAGTCGGACAAACCCTCAGAGACGGACAGGAGCTGAGGACCTCCATCAGGAGCCCGTTTGATGAATGGCTACAACATTTCTGTGACAAGCTGGTGAGCTGAAAGCATTGGAGGACTCTGCCTCAGCTTTCAGAGGTAATTACAGCAGATTAAAAGATTCAAATCTGTAAGGTGGTTCCCTAGTGATCTTAGATGAGATTAGATCTGTCAAGTGAAGAAAAAGAGAGAAAGTTTTAAACTTGTGTTCCTTAAATTAGGGACATTGCACCAAGGCAATTACAAGCAAGACTTGACTTGATCGCTATCGTTCGGCTCTTTGTTAGTCTGCTAATTAGTCGTGTTAAACAGATTCTCTGGGAACCACTCGGTAAGTTGGTTAAGTTGTTTGTGTATAGAAACGAACACAAATGCATTTTTAATTAATGTAACAGAGACATTTGACCTCTCTAAACGCTATTTGATTACTCTGATGCTTTTATTGGCCATACACTGTAACTAGGGACAAGTACCTACGTACTCAGAAGTAATAGTAACGCTGTAGAGACATTTCTGAATCATCAAGGTCAAGACTTTTTTTTCAACTATTTTAAATTCAGTTATAATGGCATATTGGGCGATATCTAATTGTATGATTAAAGTTTGTGATTTTCAGTCTGTGGCAGTCACATTGCTCAGATACTTTGCTTTACTGTATACTATAATGCCATTTATGGCTCATTTGCATTTTACCATAATTTCTGTCATGACAACTCTCTGAGAGTAGCGAGACTTGCTACTGCCAATATATCCCAAGACATGACGCTGTGAACATGTAAGAGATACTGCTGCTGCACATATAACATATATGAAATAAACTAGGGCTGGGTTTTGACACAAATTTCACAATTCGATTTGATTCTCATTTACAAGCTTGCGATTCGATTCGATTCAATATCGATTATTTTGGATATATATCAGGTACAGCAGGCTACATGCCAAATTTTCTCAAGGAAAAAAATCTCTCGACTAATGCTGTAAAATATACATGAGTTGGTACTGCATTACTATAATATTGAAGTTACACTTTAAAATTACACTTATAATAATAATAATATTTCTACTTCAATTCGTTTTTTATATAAACATATTGGTGGCTGTCATAAAAACTTGATGGATTTATTAATTAAACATTGAAGAACAGTAACATTTATAATGAATATGTTATTTGGTGCATATACAGGTGCATCTCAATAAATTAGAATGTCGTGGAAAAGTTCATTTATTTCAGTAATTCAACTCAAATTGTGAAACTTGTGTATGATGCACCTGTATTTAGCAAAATGCCCCTCTCTACAATAAATTTTTCTATCTGACTAATGAGTTTATGGTCACCGAATATGCTTTCTGAGGTAAATGTGACGTTACGTGACATTGTTTACAAGCCGTTATATTGACGTCTTTGCGAGGCTGAAACACTGATTGAGCGATTACATGAGACAGGATATGGCTTGTAAAGTTATACTCTTTCTTTTAACTTACCTTCGGATGTTTATTCATGTTTATTTTGTGCTGAAGCTGGTATTAATGTGAAGAAGATGATCAGTTCACGTGCGCCTCGCGCTGCCATGTCTGTTGAACTGAGGCGCTACAGCGATCTGTTACTTCACATTAAACAGCACCAAAATGGCATTTATTGTTTGAATACGGCAATACAATGGACAGAATTTGAAATCTGAGACGCTGTTTCATATTAAAAGTACCAAAGCGCAATGCTTATTGCGATATATTGGATGGGAAGTGCCCTTTCAACGTTCCGTCTATTAACTGAAAACAGGCTAGATTAATTGATTCTTGGGATTTAAGAATCGATATCGTTCCGTAAAAATGAGAATCGATTAATATCGAGATATCGATATTTTTTACCCAGCCCTAAAATAAACCCCATATATAACATAGATGAAATCACTCCACAGCAGATCTATACAGGTGGAGCTGGGGAATGTGGATGGTTTCTGAAGCTGCAACTGCTACAGCAAGCACTAGTATTTAAATTTTGAGTAGCAAGCTCATTGGCTGCTGATACGAAAATAAATCAGTCAGCTGCAGCATGTGAATAATGATGTCATTATGTCAGATTGAGTTAGAACCTATCAGACAGCGCCATCTAGAGTTTCCAGATTTATTTATATGCTATTTTACTATTTGCATTTCTGGTTGGATGCTAAGTATATTTTACTGGGTCTCTATTATGCATAATGACTTTGAAGTTGAATCTAATATAACCAAAACTAGATGGTGCACAAATGATCAAATTAATCAGAATGCAGGAGCCTTCACACAAGTTTTTAAAAATGGATCAAATTTTGAATTTAAAAATGGTGCTCACAGAAGATGCAGTTGAAAATATATCGATCTGATGCATTCTGTGCATACCAACCAAAAATAACAGCCACATGGTCCATGCCAAAAAGAAAAAAAAAGAAACACATAAGGCAAAGAGAGAACTGTGATGTCCTACCAGGGGCAACACCAGCACAAGTCACATTTTCATCACTGAAGTCCCCGCAGTCGTTGTCCCCGTCACAGGCCCAGTGGTCTGGGATACACCGGCCGCTGGTGCACTTATACTGACCATTAGCACAGGAGTGGACGCAGCCTGCCTCATCACTGTTGTCTCCACAGTCATCATCTACACTCACAAACACAGTACAGTCATGCAGAATAACTTAATTCATTACAATAGAAAACTTTTGACAGTATCACGTAGACATACAATACCATTTAAAAGTTTTGGTGGTGTATTTTTTTTTAAAGAAGTCTTTTATATACAAACAGCAAGCCTGTTCTTATTAGATTAAAAAATACAGTAAATACAAAATAAATACAAAATGTAAAATAATTGTTTTCTGTTTCAATATATTAAAAAAAGCAATTTATTTCTGTGATGGCAAAGCTGAATTTTAGCAGCCATTACTCCAGTCTTCACGAGCCTTCAGAAACCATTCTATAATATGCTGATTTTCAAGAATAATTTCTTAATATTATCAATATAAAAAAACTGTTGTGCTGCTTAATGTTTTTGTGAAAACCATGATAAGTTTTGTCTCCCCCCCAGGATTCTTTGGTGAATATAAATGACAAAATGAAATAATTTGTTTATAATTTATTTGAAATAGACATCTTTTGTAACATTATAAATGTCTTTGTCACTTTTGATCAATTGAATGCATCTTTGCTCAATAAAAATATAAATTTCTTTAAAAAATGACTTTAATTTCTAAACAGCTGTGTATATGGTAGGGTGTTTTTCATCATGTATTGTCACACAGATTGCGTTTCTCCATCAAAATACAATAAAAAATAAATAGATTTTATGATCGTCATACACTTTGGTACCAGAAAATGGCACCTTTTCCTTAAGGGGGTCTTTAACCCTGTTGTGCCTCATGCTTTGTTGCACAATACTAGGAACTGAAATGATAAAACAGAGGACAGCACCACAGGAGATTTTCAAACAAGAGTCTTCAGGGCATCGAATTACGCCAAGCCTCATTTTGTGCTAAAAAATCAGCAAGGTATCCGAAGGCCCTGACCCTGGATAAGAAAAACCGCCTCCATATGCTGACCTTGGCTGAACACTCTCATTTGAGGACAAAAAAGAGGAGATAGAAAGAAATAAGAAAAACAGATATAAAAAGAGCAAGTTTTATTGTTTTTGATGATCGAGTGCTGCACGCAGGCAACAACGTATTGCAGACCTTGAGGGCCAGCAATAAATTATAGAGGTTGTTATTTTACACCCTCCTTGATCTGAAATGGAGATATTTCAGATAAAATAATCTGTGAATATTTAATGGTTATTAATGTGATGAATTTCTTGTGCGACAAAAAAGACTGGACAGTAGGATCAATGGACTTAATTGAATTAAAGTGTCTGGCTTTCTTTTATCAGCTCCCGAGAAAATAGGCTAATACATCATAGTGCTAAATGGAAGAGCAAGTAAAGCAAATGGTAAAGTATTTTCTTACTTCTGGATACACTTACCTGAGTCACAATGCCACTTCATGCTAATGCACCTCCCATTAGCGCAGCTGAACTGGCTGAGAGCATCGCAGGTAGGGAACGCTGTGAGAGAAAAGAAAGACCGTGAGAAACGTTCGGCGCGATTCTTAAACCCCGTCCAATACATCACTGTCTCTTTGATACACTGGAGAAGCAAAGCCATTTTTCATTTAGCTTTTAGCTTTGAGAAATTGCAAAATAAGTTTTTCCTGGCACAGATTGCCCTGTCATGCTAATAGATTAAATTTGGAGGCTCTTTTGTCCTCAGGAAATTTAATTGTTTCTTGCAAGTTTGGGGGCGAGCTTAAATCAGTAACTATTCTCTTGCGGTGCACTGCATTTTTTTTAACACAAGTCATACCACTGAGGTTTAGTGCCAGTATTGCGGAAAACGAAACACCCTGAAGGTCATGTGAAATGTCACTAAATTATTGCTATTTTGTTGCTAAGGTTAATGAAAAGAAATCACAAACAAAGGGAAAACGAGACCTCACAGATGCAGTGGAAAACAGTCAGAGGCAATAAGAGCTCGCCAGGAAGCAATAACACACCAGCTATGAGATAGCATGGTTTGTGCGCTTTACTACAGCGTTGATTTAAAGATATCAAAAGGTTATTGTTTCAACATTATGAATTACTGCAGGTTTTGCTATTAACCCGTGGATCACGATGCCTTCGGGTGAAAATTGACTTTTTTTAGGATACAGATTAGTTTATGGAAAAACCCACTGGCGCATACACAAGTTTTTTGATTAATGCAATTTGCACAAGCTCATAAGTATCTTGTTTTGTACCGCATTAAACCTTTTTGTGAATACATCAGCGCTCATATGCGTACAGGAAAGTGACATGATACGCAGTGAAGGAACAACATCTGTTTCTCTTTAAAGTGTCTCTCAGCTCAGTCAAACACACAGTCTACCAGGTAGTATGCGTATATCCACAGATGAAACCATTTTCAAGTTATCAAAGGTAATTATAAGCGTGTGATCGTACATTTGTTTTAGTGAATGTTTTTGATGTTTCTCATACTGTATGTCAAATATTCTCATGTCTTCTAGCTGTAATTGATTGTGGACTATGCAGACATGAAAGTATTATTATGAGTAATCATACAAATAGCACACCACAACCAATATATATTTTGAACATGAACATGGATAGTTTCCTTGGAGCATCTTAGGCTTAAGTGCTGTTTTAATGGGCACAATGTTAATAACTCATGACTCATAGCTTGAAGGGATTGAAGGAACAAGCTTCTCGTTATAGAATAGATCACAGTTCATACATTTACATATAAGTGTTCAGAATGTGTTTTAATCAAGACAGTCCTCCCTCCCTCTCTCTCTTTAATTATTTATTTATGAGTGGAGAGTCAAGAACAACATGCATGAAAATGTGCATATTTAAAATTAAGCATATTTATGTTCCTTCATTACAGAACAATTAAAGAGTCGTCGAAATATGGCCATATTTATAATAATTGGGTTTAAACCTGTGAAAATTAATGCTAAATTAAGCAACAATTGCTTGAATATGAGCATAGGCATCATTCACTATTTCTTATAAGTGATTTTGCTCCACTGGGTGACATCTCCAAAACACCAACAGTTGTAAACTGAGCATGTGAGATTTCAGAAATAACAGATCCCATGGGTTTTCCTGAGAAAATTACTTTTAGAGAATTGTACTTTCCTCCTCACAAATAAAACCTTTGCCGGCACAAATAAGAACTCTTAGAAGTCAGTGGAAACACATAATTCGAAGTGTTGCTAATCTAGGAGAGGACTGTTACAAGTCAAGATTACAGGTGAGTCAACAAATAAAAGAAAAAATAGTTGTGTTTGAACATTTATTCCCAGAACATATTTCTGTTATTGTTGACAGAAGTAAATCCTACTTCCAAATTTTACAACAGAGTGTTCCAGTCCCCTGACTTTGGCAATTACTACTTTCAACATCCAATTTTCACAATAGATCAGGTTCAACAACAAGCAGGGAGACTGCAGGGTAATAACTCTGGCCACTGAAATTTGATTTGAAGGGGAAAAAAATTACTTATACGAATTTGTGCCATAGACAGCGGCAGTTCAAGTTATTTTACTGCCGCTGTAAAATATCTTAATATATATCTTAATATATAAATATCTTAATATCTTTTAGATTATAAAACAATCCTATCTGGAAGTGTTTTCAAGATCACCAGAGTTGCTGTCCAATAATGGAAATAGAAGCAGAAATTCATATATGAAATTACTTTTTTTTATTTAATTTTTTTCAGTATAGTCTCATTTCCAAAACACTGAAGTACTAGACAAGACATGATCCTATTCATCCATCAACAGTTATTGTTACTATTCTTCCCTTCAAACGAAAAGTGTAACACTGAGACAAAGGGCTTAATATATATATATATATATATTTTTTTTTTCCATATTAAAATATATATTAATATTATTAAAAAGTATATGTACTAGTATATACTGTACATATTTATTACATAAATATCAATATATCAATTTGATAGATACAATTTAATAATTTTACATTTTGATTAATTTAAAGGGGTCCTATTATGCTCTTTTACAAAGTCTTGATTTTGTTTTGGGGGTGTACTCGAACAGGCTCTCATACTAGGTTGTTTGAAAAACACATTCTTTTTCACATATTTTACATTATTACTGCACCTCTCTCCCCAGTCTGGCATGAATGGCTCGAATGGTTCCTGTATCAAATGAAGACCCGCCTTCTGAAATACGAAATGTGCTGTGATTGGTTAGCTGGGCCAGTGTGTGTTGTGATTGGCACCACTCGGCGACTGGTCGGGAAATGTCACGCCCCTTACCATAGCCGCCTGCGAGCTTCAGTGTAAATATTGCGTCAAAATCAAATCAATTTGAGCGCGATTTAAACCCGGATGATTGTAACCACTCTAAGTTTGTCTGCCTTGTCTGCTAGCGTGTCTGCGACATAGTGATAACACGCGTTGCCTTCTCTAGTGCAGCTCAACCAGGTCTCATCCCATTCGTCGCTATTTGTGATATCACAAATCCCGGAAAATATGCGTTGTAGCCCAAACGAGTAGTTCGTTGTAGTTTTTGAAAAGTGATTTCTTTTAAATAAAATATCTCCTTTTGAATTGAACTTTGAGCTTTGCAACATTAGCAACAGCAACATTACAGACTAGCTAAAGTTGAAAAAGTGAAAAAGCACAATAGCACCTTTTTAATAGTAAATTTTCACATTTTGTGTTGTGCCAAACCTGACACATCATATGCAGAGTTGCCAAGTCTGCGTATTATACGTGACTTTGGGCTTCTTTTTTGTAAAGTTGAAAAAAATCCCGGGTCGCGTTTTTTTGGGGCTTATTTTAAAAAATATGGTTGCTTGTTAGGGAAATATGACAAGCAACTTAGTTTCTTTAGCCGTATTCTCCAATGCATTGATTGACACACTGTCTGCTCACAGTTAATAACCAACCAGGCGTGCATATCCCGTACAATGACGTAACTCACTGATTAACCACCATAGTACGAGGCATTGTTGTGGAAACTAACTAGCCAGTCATGAGTATGTTTTCCGAACACGGTCGCATATCCGTCATTTGAACCACATTAGTTCAACAATTTAGGGCTGTTTTTAATGACGTCACACGCAAGTGGTGGAGTAATAACTTCTGCTAATTCATTGATTTGAGATCTCTGAAATGCTGCTGTATTGAACTTGGCACCTGATGACTAATTTACTATGTTTTGTTCCCTGTCATTTTGCTTTATGTGATGTTTGATTTATCGCGGGTTTCCTCTTACGTCACACTCCGGGGTTCCCTTAGGCATTTATGCACATGCACAATCTTCAAAAATGGAGCTTATTGAGGATGCGCTAAAATTTATAGATTAAAATGTATATATATTTCAATTGAAAGGAAGACATAGATTGTACTGCATGTTAGCTTGCTTATTGTGCCCAAAATCATAATATATTTAAGTCCATATGTCTTACTAACAAGAAACTATGCTTCTAACCACAGGTCGAGAGCTGTAGTTCCTACCACGTAAGTGTCAGCACCACTCGGCGACTGGTCGGGAAATGTCACGCCCCTTACCATAGCCGCCTGCGAGCTTCAGTGTAAATATTGCGTCAAAATCAAATCAATTTGAGCGCGATTTAAACCCGGATGATTGTAACCACTCTAAGTTTGTCTGCCTTGTCTGCTAGCGTGTCTGCGACATAGTGATAACACGCGTTGCCTTCTCTAGTGCAGCTCAACCAGGTCTCATCCCATTCGTCGCTATTTGTGATATCACAAATCCCGGAAAATATGCGTTGTAGCCCAAACGAGTAGTTCGTTGTAGTTTTTGAAAAGTGATTTCTTTTAAATAAAATATCTCCTTTTGAATTGAACTTTGAGCTTTGCAACATTAGCAACAGCAACATTACAGACTAGCTAAAGTTGAAAAAGTGAAAAAGCACAATAGCACCTTTTTAATAGTAAATTTTCACATTTTGTGTTGTGCCAAACCTGACACATCATATGCAGAGTTGCCAAGTCTGCGTATTATACGTGACTTTGGGCTTCTTTTTTGTAAAGTTGAAAAAAATCCCGGGTCGCGTTTTTTTGGGGCTTATTTTAAAAAATATGGTTGCTTGTTAGGGAAATATGACAAGCAACTTAGTTTCTTTAGCCGTATTCTCCAATGCATTGATTGACACACTGTCTGCTCACAGTTAATAACCAACCAGGCGTGCATATCCCGTACAATGACGTAACTCACTGATTAACCACCATAGTACGAGGCATTGTTGTGGAAACTAACTAGCCAGTCATGAGTATGTTTTCCGAACACGGTCGCATATCCGTCATTTGAACCACATTAGTTCAACAATTTAGGGCTGTTTTTAATGACGTCACACGCAAGTGGTGGAGTAATAACTTCTGCTAATTCATTGATTTGAGATCTCTGAAATGCTGCTGTATTGAACTTGGCACCTGATGACTAATTTACTATGTTTTGTTCCCTGTCATTTTGCTTTATGTGATGTTTGATTTATCGCGGGTTTCC